GTTTTGGGATCCAATTTCGGCTACGCGTCGCTCGTTGATCTATTTGGGAGTTACAACGGTTCCTGTTTTTTGTCTTACTCTGAATTCTTTTGCTGGACCTTTCTGCCATGTTCGCCATTTGTCTCCGAGAATTTGTCCACCGTGAGTTCCATTCTTTCATACTTCCCTTATGACCCTCAACTCCTTTTGGTCTTCTCCTGTGCTGATGAATATGTTGTACATCTTATCATGCCTATGCATGCGTCACGGGGCTCCGTGAAATATACATTTATTATTATTATTATTATTATAAGCGATACCTGTTCGTATCTATATAATCGTCCTAAACATAACCTTTCGAAACCAGGCAAGGTTCGGACTGGAATTGTAACAGAAAGCAGACAAAGAACCGAGCGTCCCAAATCGAGAGTTTCCTTCATTCAAGAGTTAGCATGGTCGTGGAGATGTCGTCGGTATACATGTTAGGAGAGCCATGGTTATAGTGTTTCTTGTGGGGACAATCCGGTGTACGAATTTGTCGGGCTGTGCAAGAAGATTTTTTGTATGATTTGAAATTACGTACACCTTTACTACGTACCTTATTACGTACCTTTACTCGGTTCACAACCCAAGAATTCAGGTTTGGCTCTAAACAACTCCCAGTTTTTTGACCTTTGCCAACCGGATCGGAACTTGCTACGTTCTCCCTCCATGAACGATTTGTTTGTACTTTTCCGTAAATCCCTTGTGATTACACAACCGCCCCACATAGCAACTCCCGGTATTAATCATCGCAACCCGTTCTTCGTCCGGCCTGGTATCGCGATATATTATCTACACTGCACATGGAGACCGTTTGGTACTGATTGTCGTGACCCTTTCCTCGTCCAACTTGTTACTGTAATCTTTTATCTCCACCCCGCACGGAAACTGTGTCGTGGTAACTGTCGTCCTATTCTCGTATTATACTATTGCCACCCCTCATGGAACTTTGTCGTAGTAACTGTCGTAACTCGTTCTGTGCTTAATTCATTATCGTTTCAAACTATCTCGATCCGGCATAGAAACTTCCGCTTTTTATTGTGGTCACCATTTCATCACCCACCCGCTATGTTTACCCTACCGTCTTCACCGTTTATCCCATTTCACACCCAGTTGTTTCTTGACCCACATGCTTCCGCCCGCCCTTGTGTGTTTAACCTTCCCAGACACCCTCGTGTTCGTTGTCTATTCTCTCAATTACACCGTGATTATGGTTGCCGTTAGTCGCCTCCCGACTTTTATGTCACTTCGCTTTCCCATCCTTGTGATTGGTCCTCACCGCCCCTTAAATAGCGCTGTCTCTATATCCACATTGCAGTCCTTCTCTGATTTCCAAGAGAGTGTTTTCCTGGCACGTTTGCACTTGTCGTATTAAATCGATAGTTCTGCCCAGACCGGGTTGCCCCTAATTTGAGGTATGTTGTTGTATTTCCATCGATTCATGAGTCGTNCTGCCAGCCACTCTATCATCGGACGTCAATCAGGTAGAGTACTCAAATTGTCATCCCGTTGTGGTAAAATTCGTTGGAGCCAGTACTCAAATCGGCCTTATCCAGTTATGACGAAGAAATCAACTGGGGTTTGGATTCAACCGGCCGGAGTGCATTGTTCAATTTTGGCTCGTTAACCAGAGACGCCGGGTATACTTATTTGGTTCGTGCGACACTGGAAAACACCGGAATGTCCGTTACCAGAAGCCGGACGATCCTGGGCGAGGAGGAAGGCGTGTCCGGGCAAGTCCCCGTTGATGCCCTTTCATGCCATGGCTCTTGTAATAGTCGACGATCTAAGTCTAGCTTAGCTCGGGATGTCATGATGAAGGCCCAACTCGACGAACAGACTATAGTGAAGGAATTTGAGTTAGAAGCTATTGAACTGGAAGCTCGTAGAAAAAGAATGCTACTTAAGGCCCATAGAAACTCGGAAGAAGCGCGGCTTACAGTAGCAGCTGGGGAAGAGAGGGAGAGAAGACCGACTGATGCCTCTGAGATTGATAAACTCTCTACTATCAGTGACTATGTCAAGGATTGTCAGTCAAAGTGGCGTCCGCAAGAACAGTTACACTACGAGTATCCGGCGGCGAAGATCAATGANAAATCCGTTCTGACCGGAAATTGAAGGGATGAAGTCACCCAAGGTGGAGCTCTCTTCTTTTGATGGTGACCCAAGGCAATATTGGATGTTCATACGTCAAATCGAAACGTATGTAGAGGCTAGAATCAAGGAAGATGCACAAACGTTGCTCTACCTCCTCCACTACTGCAAGGGTCACGCAAACCAGTCGATTCGAGAATGCATTATGCTACAACGAAGGGAAGGTTACACCCGGGCAAGAAGGATTTTACATAAGCTTTTCGGTCGAACACATAAGGTGGCAGGGTGTCTGTTGAACGAGCTGCTGCTTGAAGGGAGACCATTAGCCTAACAAGCCGATGCTCTCGTCGGTCTATCCATACGCATGGAAAATTGTTCCATCGCCCTTTCGCAAATGGACTACGAAGCGGAATTGAATTCCTTGGTCACATTAGAACGTATCGTCTAATCCTTACCAAAGAATTTACAGTACAAATGAGCAGAGTTGGTGGACAAGACAACGGGTGACGATAGATCCCCAACAGTTGCTTATTTACAAGCCTTCGTCGAAACTCGGGCAAGGATCGCGCGGAGTCAATTTGGTCACATTGTAGAAGAACGCGAAAAGGCTGTGCGCGGGGTGGAACGTACCCCTGAGCACAGGGTAACTGATTGAAGGGAAAGACATGTTTTCTATACCGACGGAAATCACAACCCACAAATGTGTGCGATATGCAATAAACACCACAGCCTAAAAGCCTGCGATCAGTTTCACACCATGGTGATTGAGGAATGATGGGAAAAGGTGGTGCACTTGAAGGTTTGTTTCAAATGTCTCGGTGGTGGACACCGCGCACAAACGTGTCAAAAGAGGTCTCCTTGTGGAATGTTCGATTGTAAGAGTAGTCACCACAAGCTGCTTCACAAAATGCCCGGACAATATGCGCCAGAACCTGCGAAGGTAAGGAAATCCGCCACTCATAATTCATCGGTCAATCTCCTCCCTGGCCTGGTTCCCGTCCGCCTCATTGGTCCTGATAGCGCAATCAATACGTACGCCCTTTTGGACAGTGGCTCAGATACAAAGTTCAATAAACACGATGAAATAGACAGGCTCGCACTTGGGGCACGCCTTTCCCTCATGACCATTGGTACAATAAGCGGTTTATTCAACATCCAGAGCCAGTGCACCAGCTCAAAGGTTGCAGCTCTAGATGGAACCCAGAGCAT